GCTCATCGCCGACAGCCCCGCCTGCATGAAGATCGTCTGCGAGTAGTAGAACACCTGGAACAAACGTATACTGTTAACACTGTGCATGCCTGCACTGACAGTTAACACTGTGCGTGACTGCATTATCGCTTTCTTTAGGTGGAATCGTGGTTAAGCTTAACAAATGTAAAAAAAATGTTTTAAGTATCGAATCCAATAGAAATTGTAACAAACATATCATAAAGAGGTAGTATTAAGATACTGTTTAATAACAAGACATATTTATACACACAGGAACATTGTAAAATATAACTATAGACAATATATTGTATTATCAGGCAGTGAAACGTGTTATGCCTGGTCCACACTTGATCAGTACAGTAGGACAGTAGCGCAGGCTTGATATAGATTGTATGTTCTGACTGGCGCCAGATATCGTTCATATTATGCGAATTGAATGCTAGACTAATGTCTATAACAACAACTAATGTTGATAATTATTTCGAGCGCTACTGTTCAACTGTACTACTTGTGAACCAGGCATTAATATAATTTTTGATTTCCATTGATTTCACTCAGACCAAAGTGACCATAGAGCCCATTTCAATAAGATATGTTGAACCGTTGCAGAATGATCGAGTGACATTAAAAAACTAAATTAATGAATGCCAAGGGAACCATAACTATTCCCGGGATAAAAAGTAGCCTATGTGTTCTTCCAGACTATGCTCTAAACCTGTGCCAAATTTCATGGAGATTCGTTCAGTCTTTTAGGCTACAAACGCTAACAAACATCCATCCATCCGTCCATCTAAACTTTCGCATTTATAATATTAAGTAAGAAGTACTAGACAGTTTTGTTCCCTAACAATACGAGTACTATAGGTTCGTATGCGTGCGTACCGCATTAATGCCGGAGGTCTGCTGTCCGGCCTGCGTGGCGCAGGCGAGCAGCAGCGGCAGACGCAGACGCGGGTCCCGCGCGACGCGCGCCATGCTCCAGGCGCGCTGGCCGCTGCTGGCCGCCGCCTGCGCCGCGCGCCGCTCCTCGCGCATCGCCTCCACCTCCTCGCTCAGTATGCTAGATGATACTCCGCGTAGGCGGCTTAGTTCTGCAAATCGAACAAAACTACGTGAAAATGATATCTTTTAGTGATAAATGATTAATCTCGGTATGGAACAGTGGACTTGAAATGTCTACGTTTATGTTGTAAATTATTTTAGTGTTTTATACGAAGAAAATCTGGAAGTAAATTTCCATTTCTCATTTACGTGTTGGTCTTTAATAAAGCATTTTTATTTAATAAAAAAATTGCAGCATTTTTAATAGCAATCAGAATATGTATTTTAAACTTAGTCATGCAACAAAATTACAAAACACAGTAAAAGCCAACTTACGTTTCATCGCGGCAATTTCATTTTTCTTAACAATAAAAAGGTACTTTGGACTTTCTGGTAAAATGTATAAAATAGGTAAACAAATAATGACTAGTACAGCATAGACGGACAGTAAGTATGGCCAGTCTTCGACACCACCTGGAACATATTTGAACATTTTTTATTTTTTTTCTTAATTTAAACCAATCTAAAAAAGAGTTATCATAAAGTATTAACTTTTTTATAATTATTTATCTACTAGCTTTCGCCAGCGAATCCGCGTTGAATTTAAAAAAAAAAAGTGAGTAGCCTATATGTTCTTCCTGACTATCCTCTACATCTATACCAAGATAATTTCATCAGAATCCGTTTAGCCGTTTAGGCTACAAACTCTAACAAACATCCATAACATCCATCCATCCATCTAAACTTTCCCATTTATAATATTAGTAAGATCACTTACCCAGCAAGAATTTCAACCCCATGACTTGTCCGACCAGCACCCCCACGTTGACCCCCATGGGGCATGCCACCCCCATGGCACCTGTCAGGCTCGGCGGCGACAGCTCCGTTAGGTACATCGGCACTATACTTGTCGTCAAACCTAAAAAGTACACACTTATAGATATATACTAGAACTCCGGCCGCATGGAATTATTTCAATCCAACATTTAGCAGAAGATTTAAAATTGAACAATTCTTGACTCATCAAAATCGATTTATTTGTTAGATGGTTCCCAAACATTTTCTTATAGACTTCACTCAAAAATGGATGCGGTGGAACCACATTTGTCGAAGAAAGAGGACCACTGGTTTAGGCACCAAAAAGACCTACATTAAAATCCCGTGACACATATAGCCAGCTAAGTCCTGCTAAAATCTGTATTAAACATCAAAAATCTGGTTTTTCCAAGCCGGTAGAGTGAGAGACGGTATACCTCCAGCCAGACCGACGAGCAGCCTGCCCAGCACCAGCATCTCCACGGAGTTGGCAGCGCGGCACAGCAGGAACAGCGCCGCGCCACACACGAACAACGCACTCGTCGCGATTGACGCATTCTTTCTACAACATATCAATAACGAATTATTGCCCGCAAACTTCTGTAGCGCGTAGTTTAAAATGGTCGTCTATAACATTCCCGCGTGCAGGCTACCTTCCAGTCAAAGTTTTTTCAAAATCTGTCCAACCGTTCCGGAGATTTCCTGGTACAAACGCGTTTTGCGAACAGTCTGACAATTTTTTTAAATGATATTTTAGTTACTAGCAGCGCAAATACATCTTCGCGAAATCTGGAATTTTCCTTTCGATATTACAGACACTGCAATTTTATTATATATACACTATTGTCTTATAAATTGTGATTCTAATACATGTAGCATGTTACCTGCCAAGTTTGTCAGCGAGCACAGAACCGAGTATAGAGCCAGTACATCCACCGACGATAAAGATGGAGACCACGGAAGACCAGAGGATGTTCAGCCAGGCTTCGTCCAGAGGCAGGTTGTAGCGGCTCACGAAGCTCTCATTGCAGAACGTCTTTAAGATCTGGAAAGAATAATAGCCCTGATATTCCTGCTTCTCTTCTATGCTGTATCGGTATACTAGATTTTATCAAAAACAAAAAAAAATCGTCTATTTCCAGGACAATACAAACTATTGCCACAAAATTAGAGTTTTTTTAAATACTATCAAATAATTCGATTGTATCATGGAATAACACACAAGTGAAAAAGAAGTAAGCGGCCATCTAAAATATCGAAGTGTTAAAATTCATATGTTCAATGTTTACCTCTGCTGGTGTATTGACTACACCAATATTGTATCCGACAGGCAGCGACAGGCCGATGGTGGTGACCACTCCCGCCAGCACCAGGAAGAACGACCATCCTGCTTTATATTCGTGCGATTGCGTCAATTGCTGATGCTCATTAACTATCTGTGAAATTAAAAAAAATGACATCAAAACATTAATATCGGACGAAAAGGTCTCCCAGTTATTCTTATATAAGAGTGGGCACACACCTTTGATTAAATTATCACATAATTGTTGTGCGATTGTCGATTGTTTCCTATTCAACTGTTCAGTTGCACAACTAAAAAAGTAGTACGCGTGTCAATATAATCTCATAAGAATCCAAGCGAGACTAAACAGTTATCAAAGGTGTGCAGGCGCTCTGTCAAACATAAGATTTTTTATTATCCCCAACGCTTATGTTGAATGTGTAGTGTTGTATTTTGCAAAGAAACAACAGGATAATATTCTTTCAATTTTCTTACTCTATGTTCAGTATTTTTATTAGTTTTCTAAGTTGCGTCCGTCACGATATATTCGCCATAAAAATCCTTAACATACTATGGGTCATTAAAAGGTGTAATTTAAAATGCTCTTCCAGTTTTGATTTTTATTTTAAATTCCACAATGTACAAAATATTATTACTTAAAATCAAATCATACTTCTAAATATCATATCACCACTTCGTGGTACAAAAGGTACAAGCAGCCGTAGTAAAATCAACCAAGGATGGTAACACTGAGCAGAGTACAAACACCACCCAAAACCAATCGCAAACCCAACCGTCTATGACGATGTAGGTTAGAGCAATAGACGCGAAGCCGTGGCACCCGATTGCTGTTACCATAGTCAAGGATTTCTATTAATTTTGGTTAAAATTATATGATTGAAGAAGTTGCAATTTCAAGTTTCTCCTGGACGTAACTTACTCAGGTGTATTTGTGTGTTTATTGTGCTACGAAATACCCAAATACGACAGAAAGTACAAAATTAGATACCGTTATCACTAGGTGACGTTGAAATCGAAAATCATATTAATTTCAAGGGAAAAATAGGGAAAGAAGCAAAGATACAATATCATGTGATTTCTCACGATTTATAATGAAATATGTTCTTCTCGGTTTATATAAATTTTGTTTGAAAATTGAATAATAAAACAGGCAATTAATTCGTACTGAAGTATCAATACTAACTGGAAAATATTAATGTTATTCAGTTAATTGAAAATTAAATATAAGGTTGCAAAGTAAATTATATACTGACTAGGTCCTAGGGACTGACCTTGTGTCGAGTTCTACGTATAAACTATAATAAAAACAACAATATCTACAATTTTAACACTGAACTCTAAAGTTATCATTTTATTAACTCAATTGTGAATGCGATAATTTTTATTACGCATGTTATTATCGACCTTGTGGCTTCGCAATTTGATAAGTTAATTTTTAGGACGCAGGTCGTGGGATCGATTAGACAAAAACTACAAACACAAAATTAACTACGTAGACTGTCTATCATACTTATTAATATTATAAATGCGAAAGCTTAGATGAATATTACCAATCTGTAGCGTAAACGAATGGATCTCGAAGAAATTTGGCATGAAGAGTATAGTCCCAAAGAATAAACTTTTGTTTTAATACCACGCAAACGGAGCCGCGGTCGAAAGCTAGTAAGGATTTATTGTCATTCATGCATTCATAGTAACCATTCTTACTCACCATTCGTAACACGAAACTAGTAAAATTACAAACGCGTAACCATTAATAAAACAATTGCCGGTCTTCAATCTAATACCACACATGATGATCATGATGTTACTGATGATCATGATGATGATGATGATAGGTATGTTAGCAAAAGGATACAAGTCAGCGAGACCGACGGAGAGAACATGGTTAATCCCAGGATGAATGTGACAAACTCCAACAATAGCAGAGCAATTGACGCAGCCAGGCTACCCACCAACCTGAAACCACTTCACTACTCAGACTATTATACAACAAACGTAAGTAGAAGCAAACTGTGGCCGTTCCTATTCAGATAAAAATATCAAAAGTCTCAGCTTTAGAACATAAATGGTTTGTACAGGTAACAGTTGAAACCCACCCCAAGCTGCTGCAGTTAACACGAAATGCGTTTTTGGACTGGGATTATAGCATCGCATTATGTCAGCGACTGACTTTGCATTTAGTGTGACCACAGCCTAAGAATTGTTTTGCGTATTCAACGTTCATTCAAATCTTTCAGCAATAAAATCAAGATTTTAATTTTTATGAAAATGTGTGATTTGTATGACCCAGTTACGATAATTATGTTAGGAATGTAGTACAAGAAAGCAACAACCTGTGATGTGTAAATAAGCTGCGTAAATAGATTATGAAAGCGACTAATACCCCACAGTATAGCTGCATCTTTATCTATACTAATACTATAAGAGTAAAATTTTGTTTGTTTGATTGTAATAAATAGACTCAAAAACTACTGGGCCAATTTTAAAAATTCTTTCACCATCAGAAAGGTAATTCATCTATGAGTAACATAGGCTATATTTTTTTAATTTCTTTGTTTTTTTTTTATTTCGCGCGGACGGAGTCGCGGGCAAAAGCTAGTCACATAGATAGTGCTAAGTGCGAAGCGTAGGCGAACAAGAATTTTGCTGGATTACGATAAGATAAAGAGATTATTTTCATCTTAGATTATTACTTGTCATATTGGAAAATGCAATATGATAAAATTTAACTAAGTTATCCATTGTCAATGTTTACTTTATTTCTAGTCTATTCACAATTTTTATCACTAAGATATCCTTGTCTTTTATATCCTATGTAAACCTATCTCTTGATTGTGGGTCGATATCGCAAATTATAGAGGTCGATGGTAGATTTCGACTCAAGGACTCAACATATTTCATTCAAACTTATTAAGCTTATTAATTGTAAATTAATACATAATAATCTTATTTATATAATAATGTAGATGATATTAAAATCAATTATTTATTTTCTTAAAATAATACTTTACAGGTCTATTATTTCGTGTAAATATGACGTCATCGTTCCCGGGAAGCGACATCGTACGATCGGAACGAAAAAAAACGAATGAGTGTAATAAAAAAAATGAGGTCGTCCGGACGTACGGGACATGGGTGACGTATCGGTCGTTCACCTCACTATAACACTACCAACCATGTAGCGACGATTCGCACATTTGGAAACAACCATAACACCCAGTAGTATATCATGAATACTAAATAGTTTCAAAGGATACGATGACTGTGTTTTTATCACAGTAAATGCGTCCATAATTACGTTTGTTTCAATGTCAATCGCGTAAATAACGCGACTCATATTCAAGTGGAACGTAAATAATGAACGTAAACCTTTAGTTTACAATTCATAAATCACACATACTAATAGTGTTGTGCTCCACGTAGTTTTTAAATCCTAAACATAAACCAAGTTAATTATAAAATAATACCGGTACTTTCATGTTAAACTTTAGCACAACCCTGGCCATTCCGCTGAATTATTATTATATGCTACTAAAAAAACAGGATAATTAAATAAATGAGTAATATTAACTAACGTTACAGCTCCTTTTACGAGGTTTAAATAGGTCCAAAATTAATTTTCAACACATGTGAATTCAGACCAAATTTACCCAACGTTCTTACGGCGAAGGAAAACATCGTGATGAAACCTGCACATACCGGCGCAGAAATTCAATAATTCAGCGTGGTTGACTATGTCCTAGTCACCTCTAACTTAGGGTGGACTTTAAACTCTTTAGTTGGGACGTATACTGCGCTGGTGATGGATAGAATTTAGACAAAATGCTACATAATAGATTATGATGAGATTAAAAAAATTATCATTTCCTTGCATTAATAAGGACGAGATGTAATCGCTCCATAACTTATCTAGTAAGTACAATATTAGATGCAGAAAGTGCAACATGGAATTTAATTGTTCACGTATGAACACATGAGCGGAACTTCAGTGCAGTTTATTCACATGATTATTAGGTAATTATAAAACACGGGAGGTATCTAATTGTAACTATAAATTACAAACGCACACTTTTATGATAGCCCGATCTCAATACCAACATTATAAATGCGAATTTAGGTGGTTGGATGGATATTTGGTAGAGTTTACCGCCGAAACAGCTCAACGGAACTCCATCAAAGGCATAGTAGATTAGTCTGAAAGAACTCGGAAGCTATTTGATTTTTATTTATTATTTCACACTGACGGAGTCGTAGGCGAAAGCTATAATTTTAAGAAGTTTTATTACTATGAGAAGTAATATTACATACCCATTTTAAAATATTCAATAACATATTATGGCAAGTGCTAATGTAGCGCAAGTTAAACATATCGATGGTAAATTAAGTATGTACACTTCTGACCAAAATATAGTACTAACTTCGATCGTGACAAAACTCAGAATAAGTAACACTTTCAGTTCGTGAAAATGACTTATTCATGTTTCATTTTAAAGATCCATTAGCAAAGTAATAACTTTTTAGTTAAAGTAAAGTTACATAGTAATTTTATGAAGTACTAGCTTTCGCTCGCGACTCCGTCCGCGTGGAATTGAGAATACAAAAGTGAGTAGCCTATGTGTTGTTCCAGACTATCCTCTACATCTGTACCGAAATCCGTTCAGTCGCTTAGGCTACAAACTCTAACAAACATCCATCCATCCATCCATCTATCTAAACTTTTGCATTTATAATATTAGTTAGAAGTTAGATGTATTCTTGTCGTTTCAAAAAGTGTACCAGTTTATTCTAATAACAAGAAACCTAGAAACTGTTTAAATATTATTTTATCAGCTACATATTTGTGAATTATAGATATAGATAGCTTAAAGATTAACGATGTTAATACTTTCTTCTATCATTATCAATGACTACCAATTATTCGTTAAACTTTTGTATCTATACTATTACAATAAAGCGTAAACACACACTTCTTTGTTGCCTAAGATGTCAGCAATCACAGCATATTTTGGAATAATTCTTTTTATAATAAAAAGCCCTACACGTACGTCAGGCTTTAGGCTATACATTTTTACGCCATTAAACTTAGGAGGTTAATATTTTGGATAAAAACCCTAATGTGGGAAAGAGACCATAAGTTGCTGCCAACATCAAGGAAGCAAGGTTGTCATGTCATGTCATTTTGACATTTGTAATTGATAATTTGGCAAATGTAAACAATAAAATAAAGTTTTTATAATTTCACGCGGGTGAATCCGCAGGGAAACAGCTAGTATAGTATAACATTTATTACATAAGGAGTATCATAAAATTATTATCATACCTATAAATTGCCAGCTTCTGAGATAATTGGCAAGGTTTATCAAAAAAACATTTTTTTATCACGCAGACGATAATTTTGTGGCATATATTGATAACCCCCCTCATCTTCATACAATGTTTATAAAAAAAACTATCTGTGTTTTACGAAAATAATAAAAAATGTACTCTATGTTTTCAGGACTTGAAACTATCTACTTAAGTCAAACTTTTTAAATTTCAATATTTTGAGGGATAAAGAATTTTGCAATTGAGTGTATCCCGATTACAGTAGTTGGTAACTATATTATTTGATATCTATACTAATATAATAAAGCGTAAACACACACTACTTTGTGGCGTAGAATGTCAGCAATCACAGCTTATTTTTGAATAATTCTTACTTTAATAAAAAGCCCTACACTTACACGCTTTAGGCTATAAATTTTCACGGTATTAAACTTAGAGGGTAAATAAGTTGGAAAAAACCTCCATGTGGAAAAGGGACCATAAAGTACAAGCCAACATCAAGGAAGCAAGGTTGCCATAAAATAAAATAAATATTTTATAATTTAATGCGGATGAAGCAGCACGGGAACAGCTAGTTCTGAATAAAAACGACATACATATAGCCTTATGTAGGCCAATTATATCGCTTTCAGATATTTTACATATGAATTCAGTTTAAATTTTTGTATCATAAAAGTTATTAATTTTATCTTTAACAAAACTGAAAATATACACATAATTGACACATGACCTAAACGAATTGATAAGAAATTTTCATTTCGCACGGAAATTACACTAAACATGTAAATAAAAAAATATCAAACACTAAAGTTCAACAGGTCAAATTAAACGATAAGTATAACAAAACAAAAAAAAACTAAAACCCAACAAATTAAAAATCAACATACATGTAATTCAGGTCATTTAGATGACCTAAAACTGGCAGTCAAACAATGCTCGCTCTAGATATATCTAACGAAACAAAGGGAATCACCAATACACTATTTTGTAACGCATTGAAATATTTTTATTTGTAAACTATTGCCCGCGACTTCGCACCAAACGGACTGTAAAAACAGAAATGTGTCCCACTGGAACCGTACATTTTTGTCAAAATTAAAACTAACTTATGCACTATTCTATATTAGACCTATCTTTTTTCCAAATTCTATCCCTAATCATTAAGTGGTTCTGAACTTATATGATTACAAACATCGATCTTATTTTTCGCGTTTATAAGATTCTTGGTTTTAATTCTTTTTATTTCGTAGCGTATTTCAGAACATAATAAATATTACTTTCTAATCATACTAATATTATAAATGTGAAAGTTTAGATGGATGTTAGAGTTTGTAGCCTAAACTGCTGAACAGATTTCGATGAAAAATGGTATGATGCAGAGGATAGTCTGGAAGAACACATAGGCTACTCACTTTCGTATAATGTTCGTAAGATACGGGTTTCTTACCACGATTGAATTGTTTGGTAAGAAACCCGTATCTTACGAACATTATATTTGTAAAAACGACGACAGTTTAAAGTTATATACTCACTTTCGTTTTTTTTTAATGCCTTGCGAACGAAGTTGCGTGCTAAAACTAGTAATTTATATATCTATGAGAGAATTATCAGGAACTAACTGTTGCCCGTGACTTCATCAGCGCAGTATTAAAATACGCACTATGATTAACCTAATCCGGTATATTTAAATACCTATAATAACATGCTATTCGTGACTGGCGACAACTGTCAACGGAGTTTTTAAATTGCTTTATAATAATATTCTGTTTGTAGATAATACAACACTAAGCGATATATTAATGTCGATATTCACATAGAACTTCGAAATTTGGCGGGAAAAATTGTATCACTACTTTACAAGGAAACTAGGAGCTCGATGTCTGGGTAAAAACAATAGCCGTGAATTCATTATGAATTCGTGACGCATCATAATTCATTTACTAAACATACTTTATAACATAAATTTAATATGAAAATAACATTTATTTATACATCAAAATGTTCGTAAAAAAATTGAGGAAAAAACTATTAAAATGCCAAGAACTCAATAAAATCACATTGTAAAAAACGTTGTATTTTGTAGTAAACATCAGATCTAATATCGTTTCTACTGTCTGTAAAGAGTCTACAGTTCAGAAAACAGCGACAGTCGACGAGCGATTCGACTTGTAAATTTAGGTTATTTTGCATACCAACGTATTGAATTAAAAGTACCAAGGTTGTTCACTAAAATTCACTTAAACATTATACTTTTAACTTAAATTAGTATGTAAATCAAACCTGTTTCTCTTTAGAGTCCATTTCTGTATCCTCTCACATGCGCTCTACACAAACGGAACAAAGCGGGGACGCGCACGCGCAACGACCGACGGTATACTAACGCGAAAACTTGTACAACATGTTAAAATCGAACTTGGCACTGATAATAGCCACACCATGTGCTTACGTATTTTTGTTTTATCAATTTTGTAATACCGTTAAATAATTTTTTTAGCATGAAATCTTTGGCAGTAAAAATGATTAGTACAAAAACATAGAAAACATTAATTTTACAAGATAAACATATTTTCTCAAAGATTTCTCATATAACTAAACAGCACGATCTGCTATTTAATTCCTTGAAGTTTGTAGCGATACTTGCGCTATGCCCTCTCCAAGGAGTCTTTGGATTGTTGTCTGATGATCTAGAAATAACTAAATAAATGCATTTGATTACAGAAATGAATTTCAACAATCCAAAGACATTTTACTTCGATTTTATTGCAAGTATAAACACTAACAGAAAAATAATTTTAATGCAAAATATATCGCTTCATACACCTGTTACCAGTCCTCGTATATTTAAAAACAAACAAAATTATATTAAAACAATAACATGGTCGTCGCCAGGTGGGATTAGAGGGTAGCTACTCCCCTTCTATGGACTTGAAAATTTTAAAATAGATAAAACATACAGTTCAAATAAGATCATATTAATTATAGCTGCCTACACTAGAACTATCTTTGCTTATGCTTTTCTTGTGGAAAGGATGGGAACGAAGAGTGGATTTGACGGTGGAGGAGACGCGTCCCTCCTTC